GGAAAGAGGAGAGAGTCATAGCCTTTGAGATTAGACTCTAGGAAATTCATGCAACACTAACATAACATAAGAGCAGGTGACACTAATCCTTTAGGGTCCAGACGTCCCAGTTACTGTCTTGTTCTTGGTTGTGACCTATTTCTGCAGCCTAATATCCAGTTCTTCTAAATTCAGTCATTAACATGGGGATGAAAGTCTTAAAGCATTTGAAAGCCAACACACAGTTTCAGGACTGGTTCCATCTTTAGTGATCTGTGAGTTCACTTCAAAAGAAAGAGCATATGCAAAGCACTGTTTTTAAGAGCTGACACTATATGAACACTTGTGGCTATGAAAACCAGTATTTCCAGTAACATGGTAAAACAGTAATTTGGCTCTGCAGTCTCACAGGACACCACATCACAAGGAAGAAACATCTTGATTACTGGTTAGTAGTGAAGTGGTTTAAAACAAATTACTGCAACAGCTACAAATAAGTAAACTTCAAGAAATTCAGAGGAAAATGTTATATAAATTAAAAGAAGGAAAGCAAAGTGGGACAGTTTCCATGTCACAGTCCCCCCCCATTTACACTAGCTTCATGTGACAATTTGAGTTCATGACAACATTAACAAAATATAAGGAAAATGGGTAGAAGGATGGAAGAGCTGGTATGGGGCATGAAGCTCTTTTTAACACTTTTAGAACTATACCTTAAGCAGACATCTTCCCTTCATGGTATATAAAGGGATTTGTGACATAAAAAACAACCCCTCCAAGTATAAGCATTTTTAAGTACTCTTTGACCTCCATCATCTCTCAAAACACCGAGGTTATGTCTATGGCGAAGCAAGAAATGAAAACACAACGTGGAGAGAAGATGATTTTGAAAAGTCTTCTGAGCAAAGCCACAAACAGCAGTACTTACATAGGGAGAGTAAAGCTCTCCGGTATCAGTAATGCCACCGGCCATGTTGAGGATGGCGGGGAGGCTCAGAGCACAGGAAGGAGGGTGTTTTCAGGAGGCTGTTTTCAACTTCTATTGCCTTTAACCTGGGGAAACATCATAAAGTTGTGTTAGCTTTGTTGGAAAGACGAGGAACTCGTGAGTCAGGTTTTACACATCAGTCTTCTGACATCTGAACAAAAGAAAATTTCAGCAAGACCTTGCACTTCAGACAGATGTATCCCACTCAGCCGCAATACTGGGTTCAATATTCTACCAAAAAGTTCTTGTACCTGCTAAACTAGTTTAAAAGTAACCAAAAGGCCCTGCCCTTTCACAGCACCTGACGACCAAACTTCCCTTTCCCCAAACAGCCAGAGGGGCCGTTTCGGAGACTGAAACCTCAAGAGGAAGAATGCGTGCCTTGAGGATGATCTTACACCACTGCTTCTCACACAGCTACTACTCTTGGAGAGCACGTGCCTCCTACAAATCAAAGCAGTAAAAAACCAGCCTGCAGTCTCTCCTCATGATCTTACATAAAGAAATAAGCAGACAAATTAAAATACTGGGCCTATGAAAAAAAAACTCCACAAAAAACCAACAAGAAGTTTTCTTACATGTACCAAGGTTTCCAAAGCAGAATTTATTTGGGAACTTCACATTGTCTTAAAAAAACAACAGGGGAGAGGGAGAACCCAAGCCTTCTGAAAGATTTCAGAGTCAAAAAAGAATTAGGTGCAGTTGAATTCTTTAAGAGCTTTATCAAATTCCTCATACTTCTCCATATGCTCCTACTTAGCCATACCAGCTGGGACAAATCATCAGCACAGACTTCACAAGCTGAGAGCACTACTAACAAACCCAAACGGTTTGTAAGCTTACACACACACGCTAGACGCCAGAGAACAACCAGGCAGCACAGCTCACTGGGGTCAAAGCGAGAGCGGCCCTCAGGAGAAGAGGCCAAGCATCTTCTTCTATAACAGACCTCGACTCAGGTCACTGAAGCCAAGCTCAACAAAGCAAGAGAAAGCAGCAAGACCACGGGCACACTAACGGACACCTCTGGGACAGGGCTGGGGAAAGGGTGCTCATGCGGGGCGCCCACCCCAGCCCGGGAGAGGGCCCACCCCAGGCCCCGGAGCCTACGGAGGCCTCCAGAGGCCCCCGGCCCGGCCACTTCCCGGCTCCCCGGGGGCCTGTCCCCCCCTCCCCATCCTCCCGGCGG